TTCTAGAGAATGTGGTTACGAGATACATTTATAGCAGAGCCGAGTCGAACCATCGTTGAGTCCATGTCACGTTTCCATCTAAGAAAGAAGAGATTACACAAACTTACATCAGGTGTCTTTACTTGACCCTACCTTAAAGAACTGATAATTCGTTGTCTCCATCGGCAGTTGCCCTACGAATGTAAAAGCAAGGTATAGAGCATGTTCTTGTTTTCTACTTTCGTTGTGTGACACTGGGAATATCCATATTTTCAGGTGTGTGTATGTGAAATAACGCCATAACTACGTTCTGAATCACATGCACCAAGTTAGAAGAATCTGAACTTGGATTGAGAAATCCATTCTTCAACACGTAGGCATCATAATGATGCCTACGTGTTGATAAGTGTAGAATTGAGATCCTGCTCAAGACTGTGTCCATGCATTGATTCCATAGCGTTGTTGGTATCTTGAATGTTACGACATGTCTTCCTCCGTTCATCACGAATCCACTGACCTGAATTCCAAAACAGTAAGTTAGATGTACTTGTGAAAGACCATTAAGCAAAAAACAACTTCCAAAATGTAATAAATTCATATATAATGCACATGTTACAAACTTACACTTACCCATACAAGATTCCCATTCTGTTTGGAAGTACTTCATAAATTGTGGCTCAGAGAGCTAAATTTTTTTGTAAAATAACAGAATCTTCATCGGAGCAGATCTTTCCACATCAAATTCTTCTCCATCAGCACTCGATGTGCTTCCAAAGCACAGGTCTTCTAAAGCAGCATTCATAATAACTCTCTTTTCATGATCACTCACAACCTCAATCAATTTCTTTGTCCATGCTTTTTGAACATGATATATGCAAAGAAATACAGGGATATGTGGAAAAACAATGTCTATGGCAAGTCTCTCATTGTCAGCACAATCCGTCATGAAGCACAAGGGCATTCATCCAGGGATATAATGTTGGGTCATCTTCTTCACTGCAGATAATAATTCCACCAGATCTTTTGTTTCTTCTCTTTTGAGGAATCCAAAAACAGTAGGATGTCCGTTTTTATATTCGTCAAACACCATCAAGATGTACAGTGGATACTGCATTGCAAAAAATGAAATATACGTATCAGTTTGCTGCTACCAGTCGTCTACAAAGTATTCATCTTCATTGATACTAAGCTAAACCTGATACAAATGAATGATTCGCTATTTTTATGTCTTGATAAGCTAGACGTGATCAAGGTATATAAAACAACATATACAACACACATTGAGAAGTTCAATAATGTCTTACAAGACTGGTTAAAGCTCCAAACCGTCATTTTTTCAAGTATCTTGGAGATATTGAAAATTGTAAGATAGAATATACATAATCATGAAAGCTTGATGATAAAAACATCAAAATGGACAAGTAGAATATAACCTTATACTTCTGCGTGCCATGAGTTTCATCTATAGCAACACAACCTTCATTTCCATGTTTTAGCAACCAATCTAGGAGCAAGGGTCTTGTAACAGCAAGCCTCAATGGTTTAAATATATCACTTTTTGGTGCCTGATACAAAACAACTTGAGATGAATCCGCTTTCTTTATCATAATTCTGTGCTCTATCATTAGCATGTCTTCTCTAAGTTTCCTTGTTCAATTCCAATTTGATATTATACACATCAGCAGATGTGATATAATGCTCTCTAATAGGGTTCACTTGCACATAGCCCAAGCTCTGATGATTTTCAAACAGTGCTTTTGCAGCACGCATGAGAATTTGTGGAGTTAAACCTCTTTTTAACTCGCATTCAACCCACTCTTTGGCGAAAGAACGTAGAAAATATTAGACAACGTGCTTGCTTAGCGTCAAAGTTTTACAGACTGTAATAACAACAAACTTATTGTACATATTACAAATATGACGGGAGATTGACTGTGAACGATATACAAATACAATTATGAATTCAACAGTGCTTCAACATTAACAAATTCCTAGAGTGCTAATCAATTTGTTAATGTTGAAGCACATAGTGCCCTAAATCCTCTGGTTCTGGCCAATTTCCTCTCATAGCGATGGGTAGAACCTCGAGCTCAATCTTGGAAATCCTATAGAGATTTGCATCGATCCATCCGCCTCTCGTCATCTCGTCGTGGATGATGAGTTTCGGCGTTACCGTGCACCAGCAAGCATACGGGTACCCGGGGTTTTGGCGGTTTACGGGCGACCATGCGGTTGTTGAAATCTTGAGTTGCATTGTGCGTCGGGACTCTCGGCTCATGAAGCAGCCGAATTGAAGCACCATCGATCCGGGAAGGTCTTGAGGCGTGCGCTCCTAGTGTTCGTCGTTGCGATAGAACATGATATGACCCGTAGAGCGCCCAAAAAAATCCGGGTAGTACTCATCCAGGCTCTCCTCCAGGTTGATGATGAGGCAACCAGGCAGCAAAGGGCATTTATCATATTTTTGGAGCGTAGTATTAGGCGCGTCCAAAGACAAATCCCTGAAGATTTATGGGCTATTTGAAGGGACCTAAAGTGATAATCATATCCAGTTTCCCCCACACACAAGAATCCATAAACATACATGGAAACAAAGTGATCGGTCATTCGGTTCTGGATCTCAGACCGGAGATTGCTGTGTAGTTCCAACATGGTAGCATGAAGTTCTTCGGGTGATGGATTGATCATGCATATCCGTAGCACCACATCGCCACTGCCCCCATGAGCCAAGAAGTTATAGTTCAAATTTTCATCGTACGCTCGTCCTCTCTGACGACTTTCAGCTCATAGCTCTTGCCCCACGGACGATCGGGAGCAACGGCGGCTATTTCGCAGATGATGAAGTCACCCGCAGCCAAAAAGAAAACTCTGTCGAGAACAAGCTTATCGTGATAATAACTCGTCATGTCATTCTTCTCCGTGGGATTTGACTCCGATTGGGCTACCATGTGCCACATTCCGGGCGCATCCGGAGTATCCTGGTGGTGGAGGTGGAGGGTAGCAATCTGCAAGGGTTTCCAGGTATACATACTAGACGTGAACTCCCTAATCAGTGCTTCAACATTAACGAATTGAAAGGGCCATCATAAAGTGGGTCCTGCACAATCCATCTTGCCTCCATGCTGTCACCACACATGCAAAAAGCACCGGAAATGACAAGAAAAGTACAAGCATGAGCTCTGGCACGAGCTCCTCAAAGCACTGACACTGGCACCCAAAAGCGACGTCGAAACGACGAGCTGGAGAATATCGATGTGATCCTATTTTCAAAAACCCTAATCTTTGCCGCTTAAAATTTCGGTGCCTCAATATGTTATCACCGTTTGATTACAAATATTACAGTTTGAACATTAGGTATTCCAACTGAGCTATTCCTCTTGCGGTTCAGTTTTAGTTTTTAGTTCCCGCAACGTTCCACGACGCTACCGCGATCATTGTTACGGCGTAGATCATTGCAAAGCAATATATACAACGTTGCGGCCTCTACAGTGACGGCCTCTTTTACATGGTTGTTGGAATTTAATCCGGTTTAGGGCATCTACATGGTTGCCGGAATGTAGGGTCCGCCGAGCCTCAAGTTCCCAAAACTAAGATAAAATCCGGCTGACTCAGGGCAGCCCGAAGGAAGCATGAAGAAAGAAAGAAAGAGGAGAAAGAAACTAGGATCACTGACACTTGGCAGTACTGCAGTTTGTAAAAGTTTGTGCTACTAAGCGAGTCGATGATTTCTTCCCATTCTTATTTATTCCACATTGGGTTGCCTTTACCCTTTTCATAAATTATGCCATCACATGAGATTTTTGCAGTGAAAACCAAGTTGGCTGGTCCACACATTTGTATATACCAGATATTATTTGTATGTCAACCTAAATATTATCAGTTTTCAAAGATAAGAATCCTCTACGCAGTTCTTATTGAAGATTCTTAATGTGATGTATATATGAATATTAAAATAATATGTTTGATCTCATGTAGATTAGAAGATCGATGGCACTCATTCATCTTCTCCATTTCAATAAACTGTTTTGTCGATTGACTTTGATTTCAAAAATCTGCTCTTCCAAGCTTTGAAATTACATACGTCGAATTGAACAGTACACTTTTATAATTTGAACTCTCACGATTAAAAATCGTTTGGAAATCCACATCAGTTTTCCGTTGAAAGTGATCTATTCACTTGACAGTCTATGGCTTACATTATGCTCGATTGAGACAGCAGAGAGAGAAATGGGCGGTCACGATCGGAGGTCGAAATCGAGATGGGGGGAGGATCAGCTTATCAGTATATTGAAGGGTCCTATTACTATGCACAATCTCAGCTAACACTGGGTTTAAGTCTTAAACGCTGTGTTTAAATCTTTAACTTTAAGATTTCTAGGATTTACTATGCACATTTTCAGCTTATACTGGGTTTGAGCTTTCGCGGATTCATGCATAGTCAACCACTACAAGGCGTGCGTGTTCACGTGTTTATTATCAATCGAGTTGTAGTTGCTCTTACCGTGGTAGCTACAAAGGTGGTGAAACTTGAAGGGGATGCTCTGAACTGCGTGAGAGTCGAAGTGCCGAAAGGAATCTAACGGGGACTCCAACGGGGACCAGGGCGTCCTTTACACCAAGTGAAACAGAGTGCGAATGTAGTAACCAAGTGGCCCAAAGGGGCAACGTAGTTCGACGAAGACCGTCATTCGTGGACTCCACTGACACAGTACAGTACGTCAGAATCGTGTCAGAACAGAGAGGTCTGGAAGTCGAATCATCCACGGCGCAGTACTCTGAGGACATGACAGACGCGGCGGGCCGTCGCAGGAACTAGGTAACCTTTCGTAGTTGGCGCGTGAGTCGGGAGGGAGGGAGATATTCGCCTCGCGCACTCTCGCGCGGACCGCAGTGAGAGCGGGCCGCCGCGGCCGAGCTACGACGCTACGGATCGCGACGAACCATTCGGGCGAGTCGCCACGCTACGCAGTGCGTCGACGCATCGTTGACCATGGGCGGGGCATTAATTCGCCCGATCCAGCGTAGCGCACGCACCAGAGCACCATCAGCACCTCCACCGTCGAGAGCTGCGACCGGCGACTGTTCTCTTTGGAGCTGCGCAGCAGCGGCGGTGCCTTCGACGATCGCCCGGGTGCGAGTTTCGGATAGCAGAACATTTCGAGGGGAGGTCGTACACGGGGACATGCTTAATCGATGCTGTTCCCAGCTCGGGCTGCGCGTAATGAAAAGCACTTTGCTTGATCGACGAGCGAAGTTCTGCAAGCTGAAAACCAGTCGCCCTGTCATGATGCCATCCATGTCCGTGGTCGCCGACTGCAGAGCCGACGTTGTGTGCGAATAATACATTGTCATTGTCATTTTCGCTATCAGGTGATTGATCTGATTGATCGGAATGCTTCTGACTCTGACAGCTGTGGGATTGATATAGATTTCAAAACTGGTACCTTGACCGGATCTGCCACTTTAGAGTACCCGGGTTTCGAAGTGTATGCTGCCTCTCGTTTTTTCCACAATTGAAAGATGAGAATGAAGTGGTTAGAAAGACGAATCGTTCCGTGTTTGTGCTTATTAGTCCGTGCCGAATCATTCCGAGATGCAATCTTTCTCAGCGTTCTAGGATGATACCCCGAGGCAACATAATACGAGTTCAAAGTCAGCGCTAGGTTGTAGTGAGGGTCCATTTTGTGACGTTGATGCAGATTCTCTTCGTTTCAGCTCATCTGCATTGAGGGTATGAAGAGAACGTGTCTGGAAAGACGAACATATTCATGGCTGAAGGCCATGCCTTAGCTCTCAGAGTGGTGGCAAGTAGACCTTAGGAAGTTCAGATGAAGCTGGCGGAAGACGTCTTCGGATACGGGAGGTCGTCATTTGCGTCTTAATGATCAGAAATGCTTTGAGCTTTTTACTTGTGGATGTGCAATGCTGGTACAGATATCAAGGATTTAGTCAACGCTGGGAATTTCGTAATTCAGAGGAAAAAGGCCGCATTTTTTTTTTCTTCTGCTAGGCAAAGACATCGGTCAGCTCAGAGTTTTAGTGTTGAGTCAGCAGCGCTTTGAAAGCAACAGTTTTCAGCGTCCCGAATCCATTGCAAGAGCCTGCATACTCTCCGTGGCGAGCAGCTTCCACAACCTGCAACCGCTGAAAGTAGACTTAAAGACTTCGAAAGGTCAGAAAATCGGACATTGACCTTGGGCCAAGTGGGATTCATTATTCGACACCAAAGCATCAGCCACGATCCCAGTTAAATCTTTCGTCGATGAAGCACACCATCAAATAGTATCTCATATTATGCTCGTCACTTTTCCCAAAAAGGAGTCAGGTGTCCTACTAATCAGTGACTTGAGATGGTACCTTCAACGACGTCATCATATTCAAGTGGATCAGTCACACCTTGAGACTAGCAGGGATGAAATGTAGAAATCCTACGTGAAGAAAGTCGTTCTGAAAGAACGACTTTAAGTAAGTCAGTAAGGACATCGTAAGTCAGAAATACAAAATTTAGGTAGATGCGCCTGCGAATATCTGATATTGGTAGAATTTGGTGAGATTAGCTTATGAAAATAAATGCTGCAACAAACACATTTTCTTGCTCACTGACACATCTATCAGTTTAAAAAAATATGAGATATAAGATACTTAATTATAAATAATTTGAAATACAAGATTTTCTCACTTTCCAGGTTTCGAATTGTCAGACAGTGGAACTTCAGCCTTTGGACATGGATATATGGAATTTGACATGTGACTTGATCTGTAGAATGATGATTTACGAAAGTTCCAATCTATGACAATTCTAGACCTGGAAGATGAGGAGATCTTGTTTCTTAAATGATCTACAATTGAATATTTTATATCTCATGTTTTGCAAACCTGACAGATGTACACGTGACCAAGCTCACTGCACACCTATGTTCACGGAGTGGATTACTTTAAAAGCAACGAGCTTTAAAGAGATGAAGTCTAATACTAGATAACAACATTTTAGAAATACATTAGCCATCGGTTTTCTCTTCCATCAAATTAAGTTAAAATAAGATTTTGGATAAGTGTCTCGAGTGTAGGACAATGGTCAATATTATGGGCATAGTGGTTGCCTGTTTAAGGTACCCTCTCTCATGAACCAACATCACGCCTACCATTTTTGCCTTGGGATGGGGAGAGTTCAGCTGAAGGTCAGAGCTGAATACTCGGGCCCAAACATTGCTGAAAGACATGAAGGAAGGGAACTACACAAAGATTCAAAGCCAGCGGAAACAAGTTTGAGAGCCATCGATAGGTCCAAGGGAGGTGCAAAAGTAAATAAGCCTCGGGGCTACAGCAATTATGGACCTTGACAACAATCGACATATTCAGTCTAATGAGCAATTTTGTTAAGCACTGGTAATCAATTCCAAGACGTATGATGGGATGAAAACATTCTTGTCTACATGATCGAAGAAATTGCACATTAAAACCCAAAGTCAGAGACAGAAATAAGGACCGACTTAGACAAGGGCAAACTCAATCACAACCGAAAGTTAGCGTCGAAAGAGAGAGGTAATCTCTCTGGGGACTCTCGGAAGTACGCAAGGTACCGAATTGGCCACCGAGGGACAGACAGCATGTCAACGGCACCGGGAAATCTCGAGATTTCGGACAGCGGCGAGGCGTGTTGCTGAGATTCAGCACCTTGCCGTCGGACATCAGATCGGTATATCTGCTGACTGTTCCAAAAGAGTGGGAGCAAAGAGCGGCCACTGACCAACCAGGCACAATTCCCGCAGCTTTGGAGGGGTTCCGGGGAATCTACTGAACCAGTGGCAGAAAAAGGAACCTCACCGGTGATTCTGAGAATCGCAGGATTTCCTCGTCTTTCCGGTCTGGGCTTGAAGACAAGAGTCGATCACCGGTGAGGCCTCAGTTGCGCCACTACACTGCTCTAGTGTCTCACGCAGTCAACTGCGACTTCCCGATTCGATCTGGCCATGGTGGTGCTCTGCTCGATGTGCCGCATACCATCCTCTCTCGCCCCCCCCCACCCCCCCTCTGCCTTACCTTGTTTGTTGCACTTCGAATCTCGGTCCCCACAGGTGGCTCATGAAATACTAAACAAATCCTCGCACTACACACCATTCCTAGCTCAACAGTGAACTATTATAAAGCTCGATCGAGCCCGCTACAACACTCACACATCAAGCTCTGCGACTCTAGAGTTCGCTCGTAATAATCTCTGAGAATTTCACAGAGGTTGTTACAACTGCTGAATATGAGAGTTTGATCTGTCATCCGATCCTGCTGGTCCTCAGACTGACAGGTCGCTCGCTCAGGTACGAGCTCTGACCTTGGGCTTGGAAAATCTCGAAGAGAACAATGGATGGGTCGATGCATGGAGTCACGGGGCGAGAGCCAGTGTTTGCCATGAACATGGAAACCGTCGGAGAGAGCAAGGATGGTGCTGCGGGTGTGCCCACCGATATCAAAGGCAGGCCTTTCAAGATGCCTGTGGACTCCGAGCACAAGGCCAAGACTGTCAGACTGTACTCTGTCGTTGCACCTCACATGCGGACGTTCCACTTGTCATGGATTTCGTTCATGGTGTGCTTCTTCTCGACATTCGCGGCTCCGCCACTCATGCCCATCATCCGGGACAATCTCAATTTGACCAAGGGGGACATCGGGAATGCGGGAATCGCATCCGTGTCGGGGTCGATCATCTCGCGTCTGCTCATGGGGACCATCTGTGATCTCGTGGGTCCTCGTTACGGGTGCGCGATTCTCATGATGATGACAGCTCCGGCTGTCTTCTGCATGCCTCTCGTGTCGACTGTCACCGGATTCATCCTGGTCCGTTTCTGCATCGGATTCGCTCTGGCCACTTTCGTGTCGTGTCAGTTCTGGATGAGTTCCATGTTCAACAGCAAAATCGTCGGTCTCGCCAATGGCACGGCTGCAGGGTGGGGAAATCTCGGAGGGGGTATCACCCAGCTCGTCATGCCACTGGTGTACAACCTCATCAAGAACCAGCTCCATTCGCCTAACTACACCGCCTGGCGACTCGCATTCTTCGTTCCCGGCGTGATGCAGACATTCATGGGCATGGTCGTCCTCGTTCTGGGTCAGGATCTCCCCGACGGCAATTACGCCGCCCTCAAGAGAGAAGGAGAGAAGGTTAATGACAGCTTTAAAAAGGTAATGTTCCCGCCCCTGTTCTGAATTTCTCCATCTGCTGCTCCCTGCGAGTCATGAGTCATATCTCTCTCAGTCTTAAGCTTCGCCAGCCCACTTCACAGGCGACAAAATTAAGCCATGAAATCCTCTTCCAAAAACCGCTTGTTTTTAGGCCACAATGTCGAGAGGATTTTCTCCACAGCCATTTACTTTTTTTAAGATTTCAGAGGGGGGCATCGTCACAAATTTTGTTCCAGATTTTCCTCCGACTCGTTCTCAGTGGCAGTGTTTTCAATAGGCAGCTCAGAGTGCAGCAGTTGAATCAATCAATCAGTGCAAAATTCTGTTTTCGGGACGGGAGTTGTCGTCGAGGTTTACTGTCAGTGAGTGAGTACAGGGTTGGTGAGGTTTATGCTCGCTCCAGAAAGGAGACTGACTTTCAATGCGTCACGAAATGTGTCGTCCAGGTTCTTCTGTACGCCGCCACGAATTACCGCACGTACATTTTCGCCTTGACGTACGGGTACTGCTTCGGAGTGGAGCTCACCGTGGACAACATCATCGCCGAGTATTTCTACGATCGCTTCGACCTGAACCTGCAGACGGCTGGAATCATCGCGTCGACCTTCGGGCTCATGAACATCGTCTCGCGCCCTCTGGGAGGCATTATGTCCGACCTCGTGGCCTCGAGATTCGGCATGAGAGGTCGGCTGTGGAACTTGTATATCATCCAGACCCTGGGCGGCGTTCTGTGCATCATTCTCGGTGTCACCGGGCAGTTGTCATCCGCCATCGCCGTGATGTTGATCTTCTCGTTCTTCGTCCAGGCTGCTTGCGGGGCCACGTTCGGCGTCATCCCCTTCATCTCCCGCAGATCTTTGGGGGTGATTTCTGGAGCCACTGGAGCTGGTGGCAATGTCGGAGCAGTTGTGACTCAGGCTCTCTTCTTCATGAGCTCGAGCTACACCACCGAGAAGGGAATCATGCTCATGGGCATCATGATTGTGTGTGTCACCCTCGTCGTCCCCCTTGTATACTTTCCTCAATGGGGGAGTATGTTCTGTCCTCCTTCCAAGGCTACCGAGGAGGACTACTACACAAGCGAGTGGAATGAGATGGAGCAATCGAAGGGGCTCCATCACGCGAGCTTGAAATTCGCCGAGAATTCCAAATCTGAGCGGGGCAAGAGAGTAGTCCCGTCGTCCAGCCCTTCGGCTGGCAACACGCCTCAACACGCAGGTCAAGTTCCCTCCAATGTCTGAACGAGTTTTAGAATTCCATACTGGTAACCACTCGGAGATCTCCCGGCGCTGTCGACAATGGAGACTGAAATTTCAGTCTGTTTCTCTTAGGCAATCAATCTGTCAGTCCTGCTATGCCAAGTAGCTGTCGTATACATTAATCGTTCGCACTTGTGTGACTGGTACTTAATCTTGCCTGTGGAGCTAGCGCACCTCGGTATTCACAGAACGAGTTTGACCTCGCGGATTAGTTTGTATCATATAATTTAGGACGTCTTACACATAGTGAATGGAGGATCTTTCTCCTCTTCGTTCCATCTCGTGTTCACCTCAATTACTACAATTTTAGAGTGGAGATGGAAACCCTTTATCAACCCTTTAACCTAATCAATGAAGAACTTGGAGGCACAAATACTGCCATTCCGGTGCCATTGGAAGCTACATTCCTCACCCAGCTGCCAGTCGCTGAGGTTTGATTTAGATTCTTGACGGTTCTGTACAGCTACCGCTAGATTTTTGTCAGCAGTAGCCTCAACAATGTACTCGTACCCAAACATAAATATATCCAGTTTTGATTGTGTATTACCAATGGCTCTTGCGTTTGGATCTCTCGAAGAGACTTTGTGAATTCTACTGCATGATGTGCCACGAGGTCATCTGAGACATCTGAACTGGTGCAGAGTAGGACTCAACAAGAAGCCTCATACCCTCTATTTTTCTAATCTTGGTGAGGAATATAGTCCATGCCTGTATACAGTAAATTGTCATAACTTCGGTTTACGCACAGAAGGTCTTTCATTCTTACCTTTGTGGAGATAATGACCTGGATAAGTTTTGGAGGGCCATGTTTCTCAAAGCACCATATCTCTTAATACCTTGTGACTTAGGCTACTGTTGGGTGGGTACACCTGTCATCGCAAAAGCCATGAATACTTGCTTGCAGTGATCATGCAATATGAACTGTGACTTAACACGCACACACGGCACGGTAGTTTGGCCTTCTGTCTGAAAGTGGACGCGTACCTGAGCTTCATTTCTATGTGGTGACCTCATTTCTATGGATTCTTCCTCGGAAGAAACCTTCACCAGATAAGCATCAGAGAATATGCTTGGTTTTAATATTGCTGCCAGCGGAAACGAGTGACATAGCGCGACAAGCTGAATAGCACAAAAATCTTCAAAGTTGTTCCTTTGATCATAACAAGGTAGTGTAATGTAAGCAATCTGGGCTACCAACTTGGGATAACTCAACGAAACAAAGATAAGTCAAGGGCCAAAAAACTGCCAGAAGTATCTATTAAGCACCCGACAGCATCGAAGAGAAAAAAAGATGATATCTAGACAACAGGATGTAGAGGCTAGAGTGTAGTTAGTGTGGTTCTAACTTGCGTTCGGGTGTTTGTGAGTCTTAGGCTTCTTCTGAGGAAGAATCCAAAGACATCCAATGTCCACCAGGCATGAGTCCCGGCCAGGCATGAGTTACATCACGAGAGGAAGAGGTCTGAGAAAAATAATGATCGTCAGATTCGCAACTGATGTCACAACTGATGTCTTGAACAATATGTCAAAGTCAACTTGGTGCATTTATCATCGTTTCCTTTATGCAGTTACTCAAATAAGAATCGAATGTAAGCTCAGGAAAGATATGTGTAATAATATATTGTGATCTCTACGCAATCCAGACCTGCGGAACACCGCAGGATGCAGCTGTAGCTTCTGTCATCTGGACGAATCTGCTGCATCTGTGGGTTATATACTCGTCAGGGACTTCTTTGGAATACTTCATTGATTGCTGTTGTGCCATCTCACCCCAAAGAAACCCACCATAGATTCCACACAGACGATTGAGAGTGTGGCGGGAGCAAAGTCTACGTTGCCTGTCTTCCAGAGATGAGCAATATCGTCACAAGGTTCATAGTTGTCTCTGTGTCTGTGATGACCCCTCCACAGGACTCGCCCGGTCGAAGCAGGTTGCACCCTTCTTCGTGCTGTTCCCTGCATGGAAGTACATGCAAACCTCGGAGGAGGTCTTGTCTGGTCAGGAGATTACCCCTAGCGGCCATAGATCTGGCTCACTGGAGCATGCCGCAATCTGAACTTCACAATCCCCTGGAGCACAATCTCCACGAGCATTATCTCCGATGAAGAAAACAGAACAAATCCTTATGCTATACGAAAAGCGACAAGTGTCGTGACCTCCAAGGCTCGAAACATTCCATCGAAGATAGCACAACAGCTCGTAAGTTTTTGGTCCAAGTACGGCAGAAGGACACGCTTAGATTTCGAACTCCGAGCCTTACTTAGAGCCTCGCGGTGCTGCCATGACTGCAGATCAAAATAATTATCGAGTACTGCGAGTAATCTCGTCAGATAGTTGTCTTTCACTTCCAGCCACGTGGATACTCCAAGCCCATCGCTTACTGGCTCACATGACGTTCGGAACGATGCACGAAGCATACGAACTGTCGAGAAAGTATAAAAAACAGAGCAAGAGTCTATCGATACCAGAGCCAGGCCTACTCGACTCGAGCCGCCTCGTCTCATAAGATGGAGGTGTCTGAACTTTCCAATTCCGTTCTGACCGAAAGAGTGTTTTGTTTTGTGCACAAAGTTGCGAGGCATTAGCAGGAGCTTAAGTACCAAGGTATTTCGAAGGTAGGTACTAAATACACATGACACAGCCAGTACCCCTGGACGAGAGATCATATGGTATCCTCACAGCAGCAGCTAGCCAAACCCCACCAGCAGGTACTTTATAGACTAGTTACAGCTGTGCTTGTAGTACATACCTTGTATATACGATCTCCAAAATTCCCACTCACGTCAAGTGAATTCACATTCAAATGTCATCTTATTCGAGAGAGCGTGTGATTGGGAGAATTCAGATTTCATTCTAAGCTGATTATAGTGACTGATGAGAACTTTCGAGTGAATTAAAGAAACATCAAACATGGCATGTATTAGATTTTTGATATAGGAAGTTGAGATAGAGAATGAGACAATGTAATGACTTTCTTAATCCCAAATGACATTGGTTATACTCCTCTTGGACTTGAATTTGTGTCCTACACGACATGGATATCAATTTTCCGTTCTTTTGTGAAGTTGCCCTGAAATAATTTGATGATAGAAAAACTATGCAACTTTGGCTTCATTTTACTAGTCCAATTTTGATGAACCAAGGGATGTGTGAACAGACCAAGAAACTGGGTTTCGATGAATCTCAAAGTTCGAGTGATTGACTAGGATACCAAGTCAAGATATCATATTCAGTTTGATGGTCTAGCAAAGAAATTTCTTCAGTTGATGAAAACAATACTAAGAAAATTTGGGGATCCAACTATAGTACTAAATTTGGATCATTGCAAAAGAGAAGACTTGTATCTAGCAACAATCTCACATTTATTGATCATATGCTATAGATCAAAGCTTAGTTCACGACATAATATTTTTTTAGGTCACGATCAAGGCTAAATATTTTGAGATCATTAAAAATATTTGAAACAAAATGAATCATAAATAGCAAATTTATCATTATCATAAATTTTATCATAAACTTTGAGATTACCTTCACTGCCCTTACAATGACTTTTCATCACAATTTAGGAGGAGCTGGCAAACCTCTAAGGGGAAAAAAATGATGTGAGGATACTTTCCAATGAATTATGTGTAGGGATAGTTTATTAGACAGATATAATCAAAGGATGAGGTAATTCAAAAGGAAATGAAATAATTCCAACATTCTGGATACTTTTGAAAAGCCTTGATAAGAGAGATACAGTAAAGAGTGGACCGATAACTCAACACGAATAGAATTATTTTCCTCCCGCTCTGATTGTGTATGGAATGTGTAGAACTCTCGTCTTTCTATGCCAGGTTTCTACCATTCGTTTCAATTTATTTATTAGGGTCGCCACATCCATTGGAACAAGGATAAAGTCTGGTGATACACACAGATACAGATGGACTTCTGCATGCTGGATCGCGACGCACCCTACGCATCACAATGCAGTACCTCCACCTTTTGGGTTCTGAACCACACATTTCTCCTGCCGTCAAGATGCCAATGATGGCAATGCGCGGTTCCGGCAGGGAGAAGACAAGAAGCACAAGAGTTTTACATCCCAGTCGCATTCCATGGATTTCAACTCCCAATAAGCAACCAATACATGGCGTGTTTGCAGTCAGTGCTACAGCCATTTGTTGGCAATCAAATTGACTCAAGTGTAAACAAAAACTGAAAAAACAAAGAAAGTGCACATCTGGTGGAAACGAAAGTGTTTTGATCATGTCCTTAAGGTTATGGGAGAGATATGTCCATCACAGCAATGGCAAGAATTCTGGTATACTTGAATGACTGCGTGGAAGTCAGATAATTCCGCATCTATATCCGCATTGAAAAAATAACAAGGTCCTGTGTTACTTCTAAAAAAAAATGTTCCATATGTGGACCCGAGTATTTAATCTGTAATTGAGAAATGGTCTTTGAATAGCATGTGCCTTAATCTTATGATATTTTAAGGCCCCAAATTAATTTCAGCCGAGGAATCTCCTCAGAAATTAGATGTTACTACAGAGCCGAGCGAGCAGTAGGAATTGGTTGGGAGAAGGCCTGATCCGATTACGTTGCCAATATCGAAAAGTTTTCAGATGCTTCGAGTAACCAATGAAAGAACGCTTTCTTTCTTCCGAATTTTAATGCCTCTGTCTGCCCATAAACGAACCGTTCGAATGTACACGTACCTCTTATGTCCATAACCAGGGCCAAAACATCACTACCTGAGCCCCAGTAAATGCGCTAATCTGAGAGTCTTAGAGCCACTGCAGTTGGACTAAATATCTACTGGTAGTTTAGCTGCACACTTGCCACCTCTTTCTGACGGGGAGTTTTCAGCGAATGTCAAGCTGGCACGGTGAATTCCATCAACTTGCTCCTTCCCAATCCATTATTTCTTCATACAAATGGTTCTCGGTGCTTTTGGATGCACGGCACAACATGCCACCCCCAAGATCAAAGTACACTACAACCACGGGCAGAGAGCATGCCCATGAACACTATGCCTAGCGCTGTTGCGTACTTAGAGCTCACAACGAGCTGTACAAACAACTTCAACATTACCTCCGGCTCCCTTCGCTCCCGAGATGATTCCCATATGAAAGGGATGATGCCGAATGTGCACCCACAAGATGCTTGGACGCAAAACGAGAAGAGCAATATCTCGCAGATGGACACTCAGAGCTTGCATATTTCTCCGAGAATGATGCAGAATGCTATCCCGCGTTCTGAACTATATACACACAACCAAAGCCAACGCGGACCGAATTGTTTTTATTCGGAATTCGGAAGAATTGCTTTTAGTAAATTCGGGAGTTTTTATTTAAGAGTCTAGTGTTTCTAGTGATTTTATTCAGGATTCAAGTATGGGGTCTGGTTGTAAGAAGACAGTATGGGAGCGTCTGGAGAAGATTCAGAAGATTTTGCTTCAAGAAGAACTCGGGGTGAGAAACCAAACTTCGAATGCCAGAAACAATTCATCTTCCTGTTGAGGATGAGTCTCTCTATTTTACCATCAAAAGAACGACAAAGAGTAGATAGAGTGAGAACGAAAGAGAGAGGGGGGACAGATAAAGAGAGAGTAGATAGAGTGAGAGTGACAGAGAGAGTGAGGGGTGGGGTGCTTCAAAGATTCTGCCCATTTTCTGTTCAAGACATTTTAAGATCATGAAAACCAAGTAGTTAGCGCTAATTTAATCGATGGCATTTATTGTTATGTAATATCTAGTACCCATATTTGGCTGGCTTTCCAGTTCCTATATATCCGCTCAAGCTTCTCTTAAGGCCTTCAACCTTCGTAATCTCGTTTCTTCATGTTAAAGCAGTCTTTGACACCATCGCACCAGCAGTTGGTCTCTCAGTGGTACTAGCTGTGGGACAAACGTCAATTGTAGCTGAAGCCGCTGAATTGGTTCAGATTCGTAAGTCGATGGTCCACAGTTTTGGAAAATCTGAGGCTGCAACTCCCGACCTGGCCGAAAGCCAGGTTGACATACTTGTTGCAACTCCAGGGCGCTTGATGGACCATATTCGAAATACGAAAGGGTTCACTCTTCAGCACCTACCATTTCTCGTGAGTTTTTTCCGTGGTGATACTATTGTCTTTGTTTCTCTATAGCGCCATCTTTCTACAAAGGCCGTGATGAGGTCTACATAGTTTCTCCAAATTGTTTTATTTATCAATTCACAGAGGTTAACGAACTATTTGTTTGTCTGTCAGGTTGTTGATGAAACAGATAGATTGCCACGGCATTCTTACCTGGAGTGGCTGCCCAATGTCTTGGCGTGTGTTTCTGCTTCTGGCTCGATGTTGTCTGGACTAGTGTTTCGAAACTCTCATCCTGGCTCAGTCCGCACCATTAGAAATTGGTACGGAATGTCCTGATTATATTCACATGGTTTGATCCTCTCGTTTGCTTATTTCTGTTGCTTCTGGTCATTTCATATCTATTCTCATAATATGGAAACCATCGTAATACGTCGCTGACGCCCTGAGGCAAAAGGTGGACGCAACTACATGAATAATGAGCTTCACTGTAGAAAAAGCTGGGCATTAAGTTTTTAGCGATTACGTGCAGCTGTCTTGAAAGAGGAAATAGAGGCACTGCACTCCCACGATTCATGAAGATGGTGTTATCGGCTACCTTGACGAGAGATCCAGCAAAAATTGCACAACTTGGTCTTCTCTGCCCCATATATGTGGCGCCTGGTGCTGCTGGCAACCGGTATAAACTACCAGAACAACTTAAGTCTTACAGGATGGTACGTATCTCTGTTCACACACGTTGCCACCATAACTTGTTGCTGACTCAATTTAGTTCACGTAGCCTTGGAGCTTGTGTTTGTTCAAACCTGCATCGCATGATCCGTAACAGAAATTGTTGTCCTGAACATCTTTGCAGGTCTGCAAACCGCGAGAGAAGCCCTTATATTTGGTAGCACTCTTACAACAGCTTTGCAGCCAAACAACCATTGTTTTCACTGCTTCTGTAGTGGCTACTCATCGACTATATACTCTGCTAAAATGCTACTAAGGATTGTCGTTCAAGGTGGTTGAGTACTCAAGCTTGCAGCATTAACAACCCCGCAGGTTTGTCCAACACGTGTTTGCTTCTGATGGGTTTTGTAGACCAAATAACTAATAAGTATATATTTTTACATACAGACCTCTAAGTCGCAGGTTATTTCCTGTTTCTTCTGATTTATTGATCTTGGGATGAATATCCAAGTCGGTTTCGTTCGTTTATTATCCGACATTCGTAGCTGGATTCAATAATCCTAATGACTTGCCTCTATATCATGTTTACAGTAAAGCGTTGGCCAAATTCCGGAATGGCCAGGCACAAGTGCTCATTGCCTCAGATGCGATGACAAGGGGTATGGATGTGGAAGGTGTTGCAAACGTTGTCAATTATGATATGCCTATGTACGCAAAGACCTACGTCCATCGTGTTGGGCGCACTGCTCGAGCCGGACAGCCCGGGAGCTCATATACTCTTCTTCAAAATGGAGGAGGTTCGCTTTCTGAACATGCATAAACCACAAAGTAGTTTGATCTACATTCATTCCATGTAACAAGTTCAAAAGCGCTGTATCCGCTTCCTCCCATGTTGCTCGGGCTTATTCAGCGCAGACCATCGTCTTGTTGTCTTTGTTTATTCGGTTGTGCATAACGGCCTGCAGTCATCTAACCCGCTATGTGCGTTGATCTGTAACCTGGGGATGTTTGCGCAGGTACGACACTTCAAACAGATGTTGAAGAAAGTCGACAATAGCAAGTGCAAGGATTATTCACTGCCGTCATCTGTCATCGAAGAGCTTTATGAGTCTTACACTGAAGGTACGCGTCTCACACAGGGTGTGGTTTTCTTTCTGGGCTGAAGGCAGCTCTGTCTAGATAACCACCTGTGTCTGATATTGTACTCAATCGTAAAGCTGCTTCGGACCAATGCAATGGGATGTGATATTTTCAGGACTTTCGAACCTATGCTGTCTTTGCTTTGTTTCGTTTTCGGTACTTCTCTAGCTTCACACAATTACCTTACAGTGGGAATGTTGCATTGTGCTGGACGTGCAGCTCTGGAGAAACTGAAGCATAACATAACAGCAGACGAGGCAGCATCAATTTCACATGGCAGTCAGACGCAGACAGAAGGGGAAAATAAAGTTACTGGGCCGGACGAGCTTTTCATATGACCACGAGATATCACTCAGCGTTTGGAGTACGATGATCTACTTATCCCTAACTTCTGTCCAATTGAAGAAACACTGTGTGAACAATACGAAGAGCTGTTTGCTGATCGGATTCATATCAGTACTTTTAGTGTGCAATCCTAGTCCAGGATTAGAATAATTCGGTTTCGTCTCCACTTTAATTCACATGTGAGTCAAGTAGCTGGGTTCCTGAGGGAGGTTCCCCTTCATGTATTCTTCAAGTTCGCAGCTTAGGCCCGAACGATCGTATGTAGGAGAAAATTGCCATCCTCACTTTGGTTGGCGGCGTCTGTTTGTGATGTCAGCTGCGCCAGATTTCTTCAGTAAAGTTTACATTAATGGTGAAGATTATTTCCCATGGAGTGCTCGATTGTAAGGAGGAGTTTCTCTGAGTTCTCTTTTGAATTCTTTGTTGTCCTGTACAACTTTTACATGAGACGAGATAAGCTCAGTGGACTTCCAGGCAGTAGAGAAAGGCTAGTTCTTGTCTGGCATCTATATGGGAGTCGTCTATTATCGTCTCAGGAACTTGGATATATATCTTAGACCTGAGGCATGTCGAGATATGACAGGTAAGAGGTTGTCGAGGTCGACGAAAACAATTTTACAGATGACTTACATACAGACACTCCTCAGATCCACAACGCGACGAAGCAATGTCCGCAGTCATATCACTACGATCTGTGCGCAGTACTACACAGATTGCCTCAGCAATGTCTACGTTGTCGCGGTCCACGTAGCCCACATAGGGCTACTCTTGAGCTTTACGAAATAAACTATCCAATTTGATGGACTGCAAACAAGACCATTACGATAAACTAGTGATAGTTTAGCCAAAATCTGATCTTCTTCAGGACCATAACTGCGCGATTGACATGATTGCACAGATTATAAAAGACTTGTACACGTGAAAACTCTAAGGAAGATTTTGCACAGGTTCATATTGCATGAGTGTCTAAACATATGCTTGTCAACAGAATGTCATGATACATCGTGACAGTCTAAGGTCTTCAAATTCCTACCAAAATGCCAGTTCTAATACCTTTACTCATGCACTCCTCGCACACCCATGCATGCCCACCTAATTCTAGTCTCACATATTTCACCTGATACAACTTGAAGATTGTCGAATAGCTGTCTCGAAGCTGGGGCGCAAGAGTTTGCTGAATCCTCAGCCATGCTTCTGTGAGCTTCATGCTTTCCCCACCTTTTAAGACTGCACTGCGATCACTATAGCTAATGCCATCTAGTTTAACAATATCAGATTTTAAATCTGCCCAGTCTGGAATAGCTTGGCCCAAACCGAAAGTTACATCCAGTCCAGCCTTCACAGCATAATACATGACTTTGAGTGAGATTTCAATGGTTTTGCTAATCCATGCGCGATTATTCAGATCAACACGTAGTTTTAAACCTTCTTGATCTTTGACCATGTGAAACCCAGTCGCCGACTCACACATCAAGTGTAACCGAACGGTTTTCCCAACATGCAGATGCGCACTCATCTTATAGAAAAGTCCAACATCATCCCTGACGTATGGTCGTTTGGGAGTTCCAGCCTGCTGAAGCGATTGAGGATACTCAATGATCCTGTCCACTTTAGACATGAAGACGCTCAACGTTGACTTCACTTCTTGTTGCAAAGAGAGTATCTGTCCCACCTTGATATCCACCAATCTCAACCTTTCATCCAAACCATCAACCTTTTGTACTAGCTGATCAATCTTGTTCTCAAGTCGAGTAGAACTAAATTGTACACTTGTGTTCGCCCGACTTAAGCACCTAGATGAAAGTCGATTGGATTCTGTAATATCAGGAAAACTCGATCTGCTAACCATGTTTTCATTTTCAGGATGAGAATGAATCAAGTCATTGTTCACTTCGATTAGACCTTGCTGCAATGACTCCAATTGTTGCATTCGCTTCTGTCGGATCTCATTCACAACCGCTTCAACATCGTTCTCCCACAACAGATCTCTAGCGCTTTCAAAAATTACCCCCGTGTGCCCTTCAATCGAGGGCCAAGAGTGCTCATAGCTGAACAAAGCTTCCTCCTTCTCCAAGTGAAACTTATCCAACTGAATATCCTCAAGTTTGTCATTGATGCTACCAATGAAGTTTGATTTGAGCTCCTCGATGAGAATGGCTCCTCTGAGATGACTCGGAATCAGCATCTCCACGCAAGATGTTTGAATCACACTAAGCACTAAAGCCACCCCAGGACAGCCTTTCGATGATGCGCAAAATGATATCAACTCCTGGACGATATGCTTCATCAAGTATTGCAGAGCCTCCGACCGTGATTTATGCTTTGAGCGTAACATCAAAACATCCACGTAATTGTGGGACGTTCCTTGATCGATGTAGATCTCGTGCCCATCAAGAAAAAGTCGCAGATTATGTCGAGAGCAGGTTACAGTCTTCTTAGAGACACGCATCTCCAATATCAACTTGCGTCTCATGAACATCTACAATGATACAAAATTTGATAAATATTGAGCTGTGCATTCCACAAAATTGAATTCAACTAATGAGAAGGGAAAATTCATAGACTACAAGTTACAATTAGAACTTCAAGCATCCAATTTTCTCACAGTATATAGGAAATCACCTGGAAGCATGGAAAAAAAGCAGCGGTCAATGACATTGTTCTTCCATCTTGGCATTGAATCCGGATGCCGACAAATTGTGAAGTCTCACCCCTAGTTTCCCAAGCCATCGACTCCAAGTCCTTCCCTTCTTGAGGCTTCTGTCCTTCTGTGCTTGCATGCTCAGGTATGAAGGAGGGAATGAAATACTGAGAAGTATCTTCCACCTTGAAACACAAATCTAAATTGATAAGGATGTTTTCAATCACGTCTCTGTCCACACCTTTCCGTCCATGCGGTTGCTTTTCCAAAAACTCCTCTATCAATCCAACAAAGACACTCTCGCTCACAAATCCGTCCTTGCTTGAGTATGAGGCACATGATTTACTTGTGTGCTCTTTAGCTTGAAAGTCTTGACCCTTACCTACCAGCTCACCCAATAATGTATTTGTGAGCCAATTTGGATCCACAATGATGTAACTAAGGGTTGGAATATAAACTATGGATCCAACGTCATTCAAATAAGATACTATCGAATTTAGTATCCTTGAATGATCAATGGCAAAAGCTGAAGATGATGAAATGAACTCTGTCAAGATGGGGTCATAGAATTCATTAAACTTTTGAGGTAACCAAATAGGGCAACTTCTGTTCTCCTTGATGTTTGTAACCAAGAGGGAAGAGAGTCTGGAACACAATTGGGGAACTTGTGGGGATTTTTCACTCAACAACTTATCAAAAATCTCAAAAATATAATCTTTGAGATCTATAACTTGCTTCTTTTTTCTTGCATCCACATGAAAACACTCTTGAATTGGATGAAGATCCACAAATTTTGCAAATCTTTGGTTGACATCTTTCACTATTGAGTGAGCCCAAGTCAAAGAGATGGATTTGGTTTTGTCCTTGTGTGAAATCACAACAAGAACTTGCGGACGATTATGTCCTGTGATCCTAGAGCTGGATGTGATAAAACTCATCCATTCTTCCAACTCTGTCCGAAAACAAGAATCTTGTTTCTTAGAAGATGATTTCTCACAAAAAGAGCTATGCACAAATAAAAAAACACAAAAATTGCTGGATTGAGGGAAGAGAACACTTTGAAGGGTACGAAAAATCTCTTGTCCCGCAAGATCCCAGATTGAAATTTGCCTTTTGTCATCGTTTTGCAAGAACTCCACTTCGATACCTTTAGTTCTAAACAACTCCTTCCATTTGTTCCCAAGCCAACTTTTGCCTTCAACTATCCTCATCAAGGTTTGACGCAATTGAGTCTTGCCTGCAGATTGAGTACAAATAACCACAACAAATATAACTTAGGATATTTTTACAGATTACTTGATAACTATTATTTCAAATGGATAAAGAATATTGGTAAAATTTTTGATTATCACATCAAAATTTGAAATGATTAAATAGATTTTATTTATAATCTCAATTAATTAGTATGGTAAAATAATTGTTCTTCAATTCTTGGAAACTTTTTAAACTATTCCAAACATGTGTAGAGAGAAAAATGAACTTTTTTTTACTATAGTATAAATTTTGGAGAAGTAAAACCTTAGATGTCTACTTTGAAAAACCGAGAACTTACATAGCACCTTACCTGCTCTAGGAGAGCCGCATAGAAAGAGTCGACCAGCCTTTGCATCTCCAAATTTTAGTTTGGCCTCCATGAACACGGACATGTAGGCGGCGCGCATCTTGTTCTGCTTGAGGGCCTCTTGAATCAGCGCGGCCTTTCCGTCTGTAGCCCATGAGGTTTTTGAGACATTTATTTCCTGGAGACTCAAGTTCACTTGGAGTAACCCCATCATGTCGCGGAACGCATCTTCGTTGAGTTCGTTGCAAGACAAATCCAAGTGAGTGACACTTGTGTTCCCTCGCAGGCACAAAAGCAAGTCCTTCCATAATCCCTTCCAAACATCTTCGCATACAATGCTTAATCCGAATAGTCGGAGTCTCTTCAGGACGCAAGTTTCTCCAGTTTTTCCATTCATAGACAGTATACTTGCCTGTCTATCTTGGTTGGTACCTGAAGTGCGAATGACAATAGGTACCAATATACTGAGAGATTTCAGAGATGTGATTTCCCCGCGCAGTACCCTACCTAATAGGTTTAATGATAACATCACATCATTTACTACATCAGTCGTACTAACGAGTTCAAGTTCCACTATGGGGTCCTTGACATCGGAGCTAGCAGAACGAGCAAGAGCTTCTATTAACTTCCAGTTGTCATATCTGTCAACCCTAACAAGTATAGTTGTCGCTATGGCATTGTCACGTATGGCTTCGCCGAGCTTGGGCAATTCCTCAGGACGCATCACCCTTGTCTGGAACTCCACTTCCTTCAATGATCGGTTGGAAATAAGAAGTTCCCTTAAACAGTCTCCAAAGTCTCCGCGTCCAATCATTGTCGTGAGCCGAAGACGTTCAATGGATCGGTTGCGATCGTCTCCGGCCAATGCTTTCAGCAACAAGGGCCCTCCCCACGGATCCGCGTTGTCTAACGTCAATTCTTTCAGAGACGAGCTGTGGATCACAGCCTGGGACAGGATTCCAACGGTCTCGTCCTCCATGTCCTGCCAATAGCCGCCTAAACGCAACGTTTCTAATAGAGGAGCACTATTGATCATGTCAGCCACATACTTCACCGCACTCGAGCCCCTCCACGCTCCCGACAAATCTAAAGACTTGAGTTTAGAATCGGAATGTCCTCGCAGTCCTGAGGCGAGATTCGAGAAACATCTGGCACTCAATCTGCAACTCACTTCTAACTCTGTTACGCTAGAGAAATTCAGAATTCTCCCCAGCTGTAAACACAAGCTCTCCACTTCCGCATCATCTGAACCCCTAACCCGATCAAAAACGCGTATCTCTTTTAGAACGGTGCTACACCTGAAACCTCTGAATACTACCTCCCACTCGCTTGGCGTCAACCTCGATATATCTCCCCCACAAAATCTGCGCACGTCCAGAATCTCAAGGGTGTTGCACCTGCCGATTGCCTCCAGCACTCGAAGACGCACTTGGCTTCGCCACCCTATGATTGTCGAGAGTGATTCACTCCAGGGAAAAAACTCCAGAAATTCTTCGGACACTAAATTGGGAAGCTCCGTTATAGGCTCGCCTTGTCCTTCCAGACGCTGTACAAGGTCCTGGATGGCGGAGGGAAGCTCCGGTTCCTCGTGTGCGGAGTCCATTTCCCGTTTCACCAGTTCAGAAGCGTGACTGAAGATGGACGCACCTGCACCTTCCTTTCTCTCCTCCACTCTCACCGAGGAAGAAAGATTTGCCACTTGAAGCGCGGTCGAAATGTAACCGAGCTTACAGGAGTACCTCTTCTCGATCCAAAATCCCGACTCTCTCTTCCTTCTTCTTCTCTTCTTCCTATCCAGAGCGAGCGCTGCCGCTGTGCGGAGTGAAGAACGCGGAGTCGTGTCCTTTCCGATGCTGGATGCTCTGCCTCTCTCTGAACGCAACAACGTCGTCCGGAGTTGACCGGAGCGCAGCAGCGGCAGCGACCTAGCGTCTGACGAGCGAACCAGCGAGTATCTGAAATCAAGTTCTTAGCAAAGATCGCGCGATGTGAAAGCAAAATGTCATAGAAGGCAAGATATTGCAGACTTCTCAGATGTGACGAACTCTGAGTTGTGCAAAAACTGGATGTACACTTGTACTGAGAGACTGCGAATCTAGCTGCATGAAGACCAACGGGAAGACAGACACGACGATGGCTAGCTTGGGAAAAGAGCATGCATCCTCTTCAATCAGATCTTGTCATTGAATCGTGTGAGCGATCAAGGTGATGACAACAGTCGAACACAAAAATCTTGTTCCTTCATACTCTGTGATTGGAACATGGTGTTAGAATCTCAGAGTAGATCTTGACTTTGTTGTGCAAGTGGCGAGAAAACGTGGATGAATGCCTCAGTATGATGATATACTCAATGACGTCACATTGACAAATTCAATTACACATTTCTTCTTTAATATTCCATTTATCTGGGATTTTTGATCTATTCGAGCAAGTGGACGTATTCTGACAGCTGAGTGTGCCACTCAGCTATCAGAATACAGCTGAGTGGCACATGCGTAGTCAGCTGTAATAAGTATGTTACGTTTTTCCTTACTTTTAACGTTTTTTCTTACTTTAGGTTCATAAAAAACTGATAAGCTTTTTGGGAATTTACTAACTATGATATCGAAGAACTGTGTACAGAGGATACCAGTACTCGAGGTTATCAACTGTTGGTATGATTGTCATTCTACCCCAGCAGTCAAGCATGTGAATGCATGCACAGTTTGGAGGTCTTCAGACCACATACATGAAATCGCTAAGAGCACTCTTGCTTGCTTGTTTATCGCTTTGTACAGAAGACAACAGAAACATCATGATCTGGTTCTTTGCCATGTTCTATGGTTCCTTTCTTGCGTGTTTTTACCATTGTTACTGCCAAAACATATGGAATTTTACAAGTTCAGCTGGTTAACATGTAAAAGAACTTTTTTGAAATGTTCACTTGGTACGGAGTTATAGTTAAATGGTAAATAGATCAAGCCCGAGGGACCCAAAGGGTCCCTCGGGCTAAAAAACACAATGGTATTCAATGACAATGGTAAACACATAGTATTCATGTGGTCCCTTGAATTCTTAATCTATGGAATAATAGTAGTATCTTGTGTAGCAAAACGTGAAAAATATCTTGCACTCACTCCCATGATCCAAACTCTATCCTACATAATGATAAGGATAAACTCTTAATGCAACTTCTTCTAAGAAACTCACAGCAATATTGTTTGATCCTCAGTGCTCTACAAATTGTTTGATATCTTAAAATATGTCTTGCCCTAACAGGAAATTATTAAGCAAACCAATTTTCACTCTTGGCTTGTACTGAACTTACGACAGTTCACTCCACTTAAGTTAGTGAAGATGCTGGGCTGGACACTTTTTATCGTTTTTGTGGGACCTAACAATTACAATGCATTAAAATAAAATTACAATGACATTGCTTCCATTGAAGAGTACATCATAATCGAGCCACCTTCTTGTTTGCTTTTAAAAAATGCAGTTCGAGCCAATAGTGACCTCGAGTTACTATATCAACCATCCTGTTGTTCTTTCGGATCCTTCACCACAACTAGTGCCCACCAAAGCAAAATTGAACTTACAAATGATTCACTAGTTTGAACCGCAATCTCTGCCAAAGATCTTGTGTTGCAACAACATACAAACAACATAACAAACTGATATTCTAAACCACCTCCAAATGATCGCTGCAATTTTTAATTGTCCATGAACCGCATTTTTCAGACGATTGCGTATCACGTCTGGTGTCAATTTGTTCCGTGCACCATCTCTGTACTAGAGTAGCCAAATAGTCCATAAGTTCTAGTCACATAGATCTGCCTTTTTTCATTTCCAATCTTTTTTAAAAGCTTTTGTCTGGATATGGTCGTTGAGATTCTCCCTTGCATTGAACTGCAAAGCATTTAGCAGAAAACTTGGCATTCGATCATAAATTATTGGATCACGCCATCGACCATGACAATGCAGCTACAATTTGAAGCTCCCTCTTACACGCACTTTTGTTCAACTTTTAATTTCTGGCAAAGACAATCGGGAGTCAGGAGATTCTGTTGCACATTTCTTGCCTTCTCCAATCTGGATGCCTGTGCAATTGCCAACACCAAGTTCACGGCATTAGCTTCACGGGAACTCCTATAACTGTTAAGTGGAGTGTCTTTCGGTGTCGTCTTCCGCAAAATTTTCCACACCCGACAACAGATCCAACCCTGTCCTAAGACGCGGATGCATCATTTTCCATTTCTTTAAGCTGCGAGACCTTGTCCATGAACAGCTGCAGTAAGAAGAGTAAATGGCGCTGAGCAATACATGTTGATGGCTGACTTCCTACACTGTATTGAAGTGAGCAGACAGTCTTTAGTTCCGTCAGTACTACAGTGAATATTACAAACCTTTCTGGAATCTTCACCACATTTTCTTCTTTTGACTTTCTGGGTGTCCATGACGTACCCATTGATTTTGATGAGCTTACAAAGCCAAAATGAATGACCTGTGAATACAGAAATCGCATGATGAATTCCTGCTGCTAAGATGACAGAGTATTGTAGCCTGGTCACTTTATGCATGACCTTCATGATCTCAACGTAATCTTCCATCAATGGATGAATTTTCTAATTGTAAAATAATGCAAATATGAATAAGTTAAACATGTTGATTTTGTGAAAGAATGATATTTTGCCAAATAACATTTTTAAAAATAGTTAATCATACATATCAATAATTTTTGTGCAATTAAATTATATGATTATAATCACAATAATTTTTGAATTAATACCAAAAAAAGCAAAATACAAATTTCCAAACAAATATTAGAGAATTTATATTTTTGACTTGTTTTATACATAAAGATTTTGAATTTAGGGATGTTAGTGAGAATGAGAGCATGTTTTAGTGTATATCTGAATAGTATATTTTTACTGCATTGCCCATAGTTCTATATAAAGGACAAAACAATATTTTAAATCCAAATCATTGGCTCAGAAATTTGAAGTTGCATAGTTTGAAGCTATTTTTTCTCAAAAAAAGACATCAGTAAAATTGCAGCAACTAGTGTATCATTTCTATATTTAATTTTCAATGATAGATTAAATTTCATCGTGTACTTTTTGTTCACTAAACGTTTTGTGTTTAAGTATTTTGATCTAAAATTGATTAAGATGTTAAAAAACAACACTTGGAAAATTTTTTACAATTATTGAAAAGAAATCTAGCTATGTTTTCAGTTTTATATCAGATTTAAATCTTATATTTAGTATACATAATGAAAAATTTGGATTAGGATACTATTTATAGATATCAAAATTTAGTTCTCAATCAAATATATAAATATAAATAATTAATATGTATTTTGTAAAAAAATATTTCTGGATCTAAACAGCATGGAAATTCATTTTTTATTCAAAGTTCATTTACAAAGAGAAAACTATGATGTTTTAGAACTCAAAAAATACAAACATTGAAAATGAAATCAATATTTTTTATTTTAATTATTTATTTTTTCTAAACATTGAGAGCAATCTTTCAAGAAAATATTCAGATGATTTCAACTTATTTAGAACTCTTTATTTTTACTGATGATGATGGTTTATTTGATTGTCAAACCAATTACGTTTTTTTTTTGTTGTATTTATGTGATTAAAAGCAAATTTCCATATGTATCATGTTTCATTTTGTCCTGGTTGAGGTTGGAAAAACTTTTAATGTTATTTCTTCTTTTCCATCATGTGTTTCATTAAATTTTGATTTTTGTCAAAACATTACATTATTTGTGTAACTTTCTCATAACTTCAAAATTTATGAGAGACTAACAATTTCTTCATGCTTTTGTACCAGATCTTGTGATGTTGCATTTATTTTTTTACGTCAAAGATTATTCATTTTCATTTACGTTGGACAAAAAAATTCCAAACGTTGTTTGATGATTCATTCCATTTGATTTCATTATTTGAAAATACATGAAAATACATCTGAATGAATTTCTAGGTTTTTTTCCATTCAAAACGAGCAATTAGATTAATTTTTAAGAATTTGAATTTGTTTGTTTTCTAATTAATTTCTAACTATTGGATGTTATTGATGTGGGTTCAACCTGGAACTCTTTCCGTGTTATGGTGCTTTGTGTATCCCTTTGTCATCACTATTTTCAAATCTTTCACTCACCTATAATTGCATTTAAAATGTCATTTATATCAAATGATGTCTCTATGACTTCACTTGCAAGAATATGACCTAAGTAAAACAATAATCAAAAGTTAAAAAACTGACTTGGAATGTAAAGTCGCAGTCCTTACTGCGAATCTAGCTGCATCAGGAGTTACATGAAGACAGACCCTTCGATCGGTAGGGTGGGGAAAAAGCATGCACCATCTTCAATCAGATCTCGTTATTGAAAAGTGTGAGCGATCAAGGTAGAAACAATATTCTAACTCAAAAAGCCTGTTCCTTCCTACTCTATGATTGGACAATGGTGTTAAAAGGTCAGATTAGATTTTCACTTTGTTGTGGAAGCGAATAGGATACGTGAATCACACTGAATGCATCTTATGTCACCTCAGATTTGGCCTTCGGGGTCGACTCTGCCTCCGTTTTGACAGTCTTCTGATCGCTGCAACAAATCTGCGATCAAGAAGAAACTGAAGCAAGGCATCAAAGGTTCAGATGAATCAAGGTATCCATGATCCACTGATATTTCCGCAAGCTCCAGTGTTTTGAATCAGTCTTCGACTGATATGGCGTCAAAGTCTTTGATAGTTCTTAGTATATAGTTTCGGAGTAAATTTCATGAATAGTCCAATTCAGTTCTTTTGCCCTTTGTGGAATATGGACGTGAGTGAATGTGCACTATCTACATCCTGTATTAGTACCAAAGACTAGCATATTTTGTAATCTGTTATCAAATCATATATATCTCTTTTAAGATTTCGTGTATCTATTTGCTGTACGCTAGAAAATGACAGAATCCATGTCGTTATTCGGATCCTTATCCCCAATTGCTGGGGAAAAATTAGATGCAAACAACTATCTTATCTGGAAGTAGAGTCAAACGATATCTCATGGGCCAAGATCTCTGGAATATAGTCACAAGAGACGAACCAGAGCCTGATGTCGATCCAGCAAAACCTCATTGATTGAAAGGCTTACCCTCTTTTGATCTTGTTAGAGGTTTACCACATTTTAGTGAGCATAGACCACCCAGAGGATGTGCAGCATGCCAATTTGGCAAACAATCTAGACAACCATGGAGCAATAAAGG